ACACCCTGACCGCTTAAGGTTTCTCTCAACAAAATAGAGTGCCTTGTGGAAAATCCTACGCATGCTTCCTGGTTCCTGAGAAAATCTATTTTAAAGTTGGACAATATAAAATATTGCGGTTGTTGTCACGCTTACGGACGTCATGAAATAAATACTTCGAATTTCGAAAAAGCCTCACTCTCTTTAGTGCGTTAAAATCTGACGAACATTCACGCCAATTTTCATCAAAATCAAAATATTCTACATACCCTATTAACCGTTGAAGTAGAGGTAACTCGCGTAAAAACAAACCTGGAGCCTTCGGTCTCCAATGAAATTCATAATTTTCGCAACTCAAGCGCGTGTCTATGTAACGAACTTCTTGGCAAGTCTCGTGACAGAGAACTCCTTTGCAATTCGCGAGAAAGTTATTTCGCGAAACGGGAAAATCTAATTTACGATGGATTAAAACAAAATCCAAAGAAAAAGTGAGCAATTGGTAAAAAAAGCAAGGGAAAAAGAAAAACTTAACTTCACATTCTTCGGCTCGGGCTCTCACGCGACGATTGTGAATTTCGTAACCTATAAACGTAAAAGAAAGACTTATGTTACATGAACGAGACTGCGTGACAATTTTGAGTTCCGTCAAAGAATCCATCGCCGATCCACACTTAGAGCTTATGAAGACTTGACATTATGATCANGACCCAAGATGCTACCTTGCGGGACACCAAGAGACATAGGACAAGACTCAGATAGGACTCCCTTGAAGGTTGTACGTTGTGAGCGATTTGACAGGTACGAGGTGAACCACTCCCCTGAACAGAGGATGGAGAACAACCATAGGAGTTGAGTTTAAAAGAAGCAAAGAATGATCAACTAGATCAAAGGCCTTTTTTAGGTCATCAAGTAAGAGGCCACACAAAAGACGGTGGTCCATATTAGTGAGGATGCGATCAATTAAGTTGGTAAGAGCCAATTCACAAGAGCGTGACTTCCTGAAACCAAACTGAGAATCAGAGAGCAGATCATGCGAAAAGAGAAATTTGTAAAGAGAAGTGTGAACATGGCGCTCAAGAATTATAGAAAGAATGGGAAGAATTGAGATCGAACGATAGTATGAACAATCAAAGACTGAACCGTTTTTAAAAGGAGGAGAAACTTTGGCCATTTTCCAGATATCTGGAAATGTGTTCAGCGAAATGCTGAGATTGAAAATGG